GGCCTAAGGAGATAAGGATTTTCAGAGAGACAAATTAATGCCCTCAGGAGACATATAAGCTACTACAAAGAATATAAGGTATCTGATTAAAAAGGAAAGCAAAGAAGTAACTCCAAGCTCAAGCCACGAAACCACTAGCACATCCACACACTTATCCAAGGATCGTGAAGAAGCCAAATCTGAACCAACGAACATAAGCACAGAACAGAACCTAAACCATGATGCACACCCAGACACATGGAGAACCAAAACGCGGCTCTAGGACTATCTTAACCAGCAGATAGAGGAGGCGAATAAGAACGCAGGGAGATAAAGGCAACATAGCATAGAGTCAACGTCGAGTAGCCTTACCATAGAAACTGGGAAGCAGAGGAGACAACGACGCCAAGACAATATTAACCTGACCACTGAGTCTAACGAGAACACCAAACCAATCTTTGAGACCAACCAAAAACATAGACCACAAACAAACGCCTGGGACCAACAACAAGCACATCTCCTCGCTCAAAAGAAACCTAACTCACACAAGCCATACAAAGGACAATACCACAACACTCCACAACTAGAGAACAAACGAATCAATGAGATCACAACCAAAACTAGAGAGAAATCGAAGATACCCGATGAAACAAAGGCAGAAGAATCACAATGCTCACAAATTCATCACGCCACCACCACAAACAAACCAGAGGACCGACAAGAGAAGATCAAATAAGAATCGTCACGAAATCTCGAACCTAGCCCAAAACTGGCGACCACAGATCTAACAAGATCAACTCACGACAAAGCTCTGCAAACAGAGCCAAGCCCTAGCCAATTCGAAACCATCACATAACCTTGCAGATCTCAAGAGACGAAACCACATCTAGCCATTAGAGCCCACTACTAAGCTAATACAAACCAAATAAGAAATCTAAAGGCATAAAATAAGGGTCTGGTACCGACTCTATGGAAGCCGCCGGCCACCAGATCAAGATCGGAAAAATTTTCGCAACTATTACTGTAACAAGCGGCGCTGCTTAGGATTTCGAGAGGAGAATAAGAGCCTCAAAAATTCATCATCTAATATATTTTATCTATATGTTTAGATTAAATATTGTATTCTTTGGGCAGTTGAATTGTTATTCCAAAAAAAAACATCATACATTCAAAAATAATTGATCAGCGCAAAATAAAAGATTCATGCGAGAATGGGAGAGGAGACAACAGACCAGTCAAATTGGTAGGGGTGGCCAAACTGAGTT